CTATTCTCAATGCATAAAACTTTACATCCGTGCCGCAAAATAAGGCACCAGTATTAAACGACCCGGGCAATCGAGCCGCGGAGCCCCGATTTGCTTCGAAATTTTAAATATGATGGGGGGAGTGGTAGGTCAAACTACGGTGGGAGTTCGTACCGTTGTAACTGTTAATTCTGAAGAACAGCCAAAACCTTTCGCCTTAACGAGCGACAGTCATTAAGAACTGTTTAAGAGCCGCTCGAAATGTTCCGAACCCCCGCAGCTTACTGTTAACTTACGGAATTGATAACTTTCGCAGTATTACTTCTTAGTTTGACGGCAAATGACGCATCGATACATTTTTGTGGTGTTTTTGCGACGAAAAAATTATTTTCGTTTTGCATTTCATTAAATACGTTTTTACGATTCTATCATTTTCTACTCTTAGACAGAAGTTCACAAGTCCTACTTTAATTGTGGGAGAGTCATGCTTCGGCACGAATGGGTCGGCTCGACCGAAGTGATAGCACGGCCTCACAGAAAACAGGTTACCGGGGGCGCAATCTTTCCCTTCCCCCAATACCTCCTCTTTCCTGAAATCTCCAAATCCTTAATCCTCAAAAGGTCTGCAACGCACTCGTAACTCCTCCGTCGTTACGCGTGTCCTTGGGCGGCGCTGATTGCTTACCATCAGGCATCGTTTGCCGACCTATTACATAAAAAAAAACTTGAAATGTAAGGGAATTAATGACACCATTATTTAAAAAAAAACCTAATTTTTAAAAAATGTTTAGAAATTTTGCATTTGTAGAACTATTAAATGGTTCAGTCACAAATGAAATCTTTTATTCATATTTTATAGTCTTGGAGCAATTAATTTAGTCTTTATTTCAGCTGATCTTAAGGTTTTCAATTTAAAAGTAATACAAAGGGCAGTTTTATATAACAATTTATCTATCGTATAACACAATTAATGTTCGTTACCGTGTATAATTCGCACCCAGACCTGTATTATTATACAATTATACGAAATTTATGGCTTCATAACCTCTCCATGCGATTTAAATTATTTTATTAATATCAGTCGAGTGAAAAATTGAAATTTAAGGTTATTATCGAAATCGAATAGTCGGAATATTCGTATAAATTTAATTTTATTATTACAATAATATATGAAAATAGCATAATTAAGATTTTTTTATTTTCAATTTATCTTTTAGCCTCGTATTTTTCATTGCTTTTTGTGTATATCTTCAAACCGAATTCAGGACCGTCTATAGAATTCTTAGTGTGAGTTTGCATTACGTTAAGACGATTGACTTGTTTATGACGTTCAGCGCTCTGATTGGCTTGCTCCAAGGTAACTAACCAATCAGAGGGCTAGACGCTTTACGTATAAATCGCGTTAACGTAAAGGATATTCGGAAGGGGCAATGTGACAAGTAACTATTACGACCTTTGTATGAATGAATGAATGAGTGAATGAGTGAATGCTTTATATGCTAGTGACGACAATTTATTAAGTTTCACTTTATTCGATATATATCACGTCGTGCAAATATTTAGTGACAATTGAGTCAAAACAATACACAATCTTTTACTTATACTAAAAATCCTAGTTAATCTTTTTTTACATTGTACTAGGGGACCGAGCTTATTTTTTTTATTTAAAGAACTAGCGGAATGAGAAATTAAATATAAAGTATAGAACCACACGAACATTCTACTCGGTTTACTTTTGTAAAAACGTGGAACAAAAATATCAACCTTTTTACGTACCTAGTGCTTGAACTTAACAAGCTCTAACGGTATAATGAAACGTTAAAATTAAATAAAGACTGTAAATGCGAATTATTTAGGTACACTTTTGTCCAAAAATGTATATACCTACCAGCTTTTTTCCGCGACTCCGTTCGCGTGGAATAATCGATTTTTGGTATAAAACTGTCTTATGTCCTTTCTTGACTTCCAAACTATGTCTGTACCAAATTTCGCAGAAATCGGTTTAGTAGTTTTGGCGTGAAGAAAAAAAAATTTGCAAATCGGTCCAGGCGTCTTCGAGTAATCGGTATACATACATAAAAAAAAAGACTCGTCGAATTGAGAACCTCCTCCTTTTTTTTGAAGTCGGTTAAAAAGGCACACAAATAGACAGTTACTTTGGCATTTATAATATTAGTTTGTACAAGAATAAATATAGTTTTGTTTTCTAGAGCGATGTATTTGCTAAAATAAGCAGAAATTTTTGTTAGGAATATAACACCATAAAATTCTAAATACCGTTAGGATAAAATGTATCTAAGAAAATTGTGAACTGTCGAAGAATTGAGAAAATTTATTAAAACTGAAACTGAAAATCGGAAAACAAAAATCGAACGAAAATTGAAAATTTAAATATGACAATCAGAAATAGAAATATTAAACGCTAATCGCAAAGTGAAATACAAAGTCTGAAATTTTAAAAACAATTTTTTTTAGTTATAAAACACTCACATAATTCTTACAACGGAAACTTCTCTGGTTTTATTTTTTGATATCGTATCCGTAATTTACTGCATTCTTTTACATTTTAACACGACATACTATTAAAATGTTTAAATAAGGAAAAAGGGTTAAAAAATCTTTTGAAATATCCAAAAATCCAAAATAATACGAGATTTACCGTATGATTCATTTAGTTGGCAGGAAAAAATATTATAATAACATATTTTTGCAAAACATCCGCAATTTTTGTGTTTAATTTTGCAAGTAGTTACTGAATCACAATGTTCATCATGACTAGGCATCTTTTTGTAGAGAAAATAATAAGGTATACAAGGTAGGTATATCTGTGTCGTGGTGCCCTGGAGGTTAAGGAGCCGGAGAGAGGAGTTAAGGTTATATGTACTTTCTATGATTATTTAGACACCGCTGACAAACGGTGAAGGTAAACATCGTGATGAAACCTGGACTTATAATTTGTAATTGTAAGTTTTAAATCGCCAACTCGCATTGAGCAAGCGTGGTGATTAATGTTCAAACCTTCTCCATGAGAGAAGAGGCCTTTGCTCAGCAGTGGGCATTTATAGGCTGATGATGATGATGATATCTGTGTTCTATATACTGTACTGCAAGGTTGGTGCGATGGCTGTGCAACTGACTGCCGTGCATCGTGTCTCGAGTTCGATTCCCCTACGGAACAACTCTTTGTTGTGAGATCCACAAATTATTGTTTCGGGTCTGGGTGTCATGTGTATTTAAAATTGTATGTTTGTAACTGTCATGTGGAAAATCCTAGTGTGTGGCAACGTTTCTTTACGTTCAAACGTGTGAAATAAACTATCTAGTCAATATAAGTAGTTTATTAAAAAAAAAACAAAAGAAGAAGCCAACTAGCCAGAGATAAAAATAACAAAAAAAAAAATTTTACAAGATCATCTCCCATCCATACGATGGTGAATGAAGTTCATGACATTTTTGTTTGTGAGAACACACATGAATGAAAGAATACAACGACTGGTTTTATCGCGACCATGTTTGTATGTTATCTCTAACCCACACACACACACATATACATGATGTAAATATGTACGTTAACACTTGAATTTTATCTCCGTCACCGTGACTTGCTTACTTATAATCTATATACTATATATTAAAATAGATCGCAAAATGTGTTAGCGCATAACTCAACAACGCCTGGACCAATTTTGCTAATTCTTTTTTTGGTTATGTTTGTTACTGTCAGGAGAAGGTTCTTATCAAAGAAAATATAAGAAAAGTAGAGGGGAAGATTAGAAAAATGTTACCCTTTGATAGCGAGATAGTTGGACCCGTGCGAAGCGGGGGCGGGCCGCTAGTTTTATATAAACCTATTCAGGTCATTTCTTAATTCCAGTAATTTTGTTGTGAATCACTCAAACTCAATTACTTATTGTTTTCAATAAATTTCATCATTTTGTTTTTGTTGAAAGCGAATGCTATAAATATTTTGTGCTTATGCAATAATTTTGAAATACAAGTAATTTCACGTATGGATAGCTGTAATTGGTAGAATTATTTTGTTATGAAGAAATTGTTTAATTAGTTTTTAATGCGATGCGTAAACAACATCTAATGAATACCAACCCACCAAATAGTAAAAAACCATTTATTGACATCTTGAACTGAATTACTATTTTTTATCTTCTTGTGAAACGTTGCCCCATTCTAGGATATTCACCTGAGTCGTAGGTGCGTTTCAAAACACACAATTTCACATACGCTTACCACCAAGACCCAGACCAACAATTTGTGGATCAAACAAAGAGTTGTTCTGTACGGTAATCGAACCCGCGACACTGCAATCGGTTGCCAGTTCCCACGTCAACCGTGCGCAAATTCTGAGAAATAGTATATCTTGAACTCTTAATAATAACATTAATTCTGGTAAATAAAATAAAAAAATAAAAAATCTACATGGAAAACATAAAACAATAAATTTATTTTGTAAATAGATCATGTTAGTGTTACTTACATGCTGAAATTAATAACTGGCCTTTCGATCGATATAAATTCTTCACAGAAACTTTCAACAATTGACCAAATTCAATAATTTGGATTTAGATCAAATAGCTAATATTAATTTTAAGCCATATGAGTTTATTACATAGATAAAAATCCAACAAATTTCACCCTCTACACATAGATCGACGTCCAAATAAAATAGCTTATGAAATAAAGTACATCGTATCACGTAATCCTACCATTCGTATGTGCCCAGTGCATCTGGAATCTCTTAAGAAACACACATCTATAAGTGTCCCCTCGAATCCTTTAACTGATGTCCAACACTGGCGGTGGGCTTTCGTATGAGCGTTACGAAAGAACCAAGAATTTGGGTGCTGAGGAACGATCAAATTGCGATATTAAAACGATATAGAATTTAATTTTTATGTCACTTTTGTTTTTGGTGGAGGAAAATTATAGATTCTTTCTCTCATCCTCAGTGAGGTGAAAAGGAGAGTATTAGACAGTTACTACCTTAAAACAATTCCATTCTATGTATCGCCCCTTTAATCATAAAACGAAACAACTCAAAATTTACGATTTTCGACTTTTTATCATAAAGTGAATTAACTTCACATGGAGAATACGGTAAGTCTAACAGCCAACTCAATATGATGACAATGACGGAGATAGAAGACAGTCGTTCTCTTTTTGATTAATGCACTCGAACAAGTTGGTACCGGTAAAGTGATCCCTTCAGTGATGCACCGACTTTGCTCAAGGTAAGATCTCGGAAGAAATTTAAAAAAGCGGAGTAAAACGAAAAGAATCAGTGTTTTGCTATCAGGTAATTATTTTTTAAGCTTTTATTTATTCAAAAAGTGAATTTGTTTGAGTTATTTCTCTTTATTAGAAAAGTAGACATAATTTGTTTCGATAGTATTTTGACTTAATTCAGTTTTGTATTAATTTTATCATACCGTATTACGATACATTTCAAGTTGATGCAGTTTTAGAATAAAATGCGTATGCAAATCTAAATTGAATTATGTATTATTCCAGTATTGTACTATGGTTTATCAAAAACTTAGTATTTTTTTGGTTTGTTTCTGTTTACTGTTAATTTGTCAGTTATGACTTTGTTTTCATTTCGAGTTATTTTACTATTTTATTAAAATAATGAGTGTCGTTAGTAAATTTAAACAATAACAAGGGTATTTTTATTTTCTTTAGAGTGATGTGGAGGATTTGAAAGGAGTTTAATTAATACAAGTACCTATTCTTTGTCCTGTTTTAGAATGAAGTCTTCAAGGGCACGAAGAATTTTGGGTTTACTGGCGGAAAATTCAACACCGGATTGTGAAAATACTATAACTTCACCGGACTATGAGTTAGAATATGAGAAACCCAATAATAGCAATATGAATTCCAACAACGAGGTGAGTACCTACCTAATTAATAATTACTGTTATTGCAGATTACAAATACCTATATTCAAGTGTTTAATTTATAAAACTGCGATTTGTCTACCTATAACTCCACTACATAAATGAGTTCTCCGAAATTTCTTACGATTATTCTTCGAACTCGCGGGTGCTACACGTGCGTCGTGCTTGGCATGGTGAGGTGTGTGCGGGGTACGTTACCAGTATCACGTAGAGCGCGGTTTTGGGTAATTTTATAATAGTCTCAAGTCTTCTGGTCCGATTCCCGATTAAAGTAGTAGGTATTCCTTTTAAGAGATTCTTATTAGCAGCATGCACTCAGGACATTATTCTTAATACAATAAACCACGTTATTTATTTGTTATTATTAAAACTATATTTTTGATCTACTATTTTAGGTACAAAATGAACATAATATCCCTACTGAAACGGAGGATAAAACAATAGCGGAATCAATAGAACACTTTGAAAAAACAAATGAAGTAGCTATACCAGTAAGTAGAAATTGATGATGATTAAATTATTAACATAATGATATCATTTAGATTAGTAAACTGAAATTTTACTTAGTTTATTTATTCCTGTAAAAATATTTAGTAAGTACCTACTTATCTAAATTTTACATTTATTAATTACAGAAAACTCATTTTCAACACCTAGTACCTTATTCTGATAGTGACATTAGCTTGTCTGACCATGAAGATACACGATACACAACTACTGAAGCAGAAAACAAAAATGAAGAAAATACTGTTCGTCAATCTTCATCAACTTCAAGTTCGTCCTCGAGCTCATCGTCATCAAGTTCAGACTCGGATAGTTCGCACTCAACCAACACTCGGTCACTCGCAAGAACTGCTAGACACCACGTAACTGTTAATGAAACAGACGACAGTGAAGTTATTGAAAATACTCCTCCGCAGCATTTTGAGAATAGAAGGAATGTAAGTTATAATGGTGCCATAAAAAGACCAACACGTCTTGTCGTTATCATTAACACTAGTCTAGATGTGGGATATTTTAGCATGTTTACTTTTTGTTTCTAGTGTTAATGATAATGTTACTGACTGTGACAGTTTAAAAACTTTTATTTGCCGTTATTTCATCTTACATTTAAATTTTAATGTTAATTTTTCTTTCAGGAAAAAAATCGTCATCCCAGGGAGAACTCAACCAGTTATTACTCATCTCCAATTTATACCGACGAAAGTGATATAGACCTCAGTGATACAGATCCGACCTTTACAATCATGGAAAACAGAAGAAAAAGGAACTATATTTTTTACGACTCAAGCTCTTCTTCTACTAGTTCATCTAATTCACGTATTACTCCAAAAAAGGGACGCAAACGTTCAAAAAAACCATCTCAATGGAAACAAAATAAAATGAAACGTTTACGTAATAAGGGCAAAACGTATATTTCTATGTCCAAAACTCGGAAGAATGTTCCAGCCCGATGTCTCAAAGAACCTTGCTCAGAAAAATGCAGGCTTAAATGCACCACAAAAATAAACAGAGACAGCAGATACGAATTATTTCGGAAGTTTTGGGATTTGGGGGATTTGGCGAAACAAAGAGCATTCATAAGTGCAAGCATGATTGATGTCCAGCCAAAATACAAGTACACGAACTCTGAACGACCCAGAAATAATAACAAAGCCTTCCACTTTACAGTCGACAACACTATGATTAGGGTCTGCAAAACTTTTTATAAAGCCACGTTAGACATCTCAAACCGTATGATATTGACGACACAGAATAAAATAAAGGATAATGATTTTTCACTCAATGATTTTAGAGGAAGACATCAAAATCATAAAAAAATTGATCCCGAATTACGAGCTGCGATCATACAACACATAAATTCTATCCCTAAAATTGAATCTCACTACGTACGAGCTTCATCTACAAAGGAATACATAGAAGGCAGCAAAACTATAAAAGATTTATACAACGATTTTAAAGAAAACCAAGAAAAGAATAATAAAGATGCAGGTACATACATAACATATTATAAAATATTTACATCTGAATTTAATCTCTCTTTTTTCCAACCTAAGAAGGATCAATGTGATCTTTGCAACTCATACTATAATTCTAATGCTGATCAAAAGAAAGACATAGAAGAAAAATATAACACTCATTTGGAAGAGAAGAATTGTAGTAGGCTCGAGAAGATGAATGATCGCATGAAAGTCAATAAAAACTTCAGAGTAGCTGTATATGATTTAGAGGCAGTATTGCAGTGCCCAAAAGGTGATACTTCCTCTTTTTATTATAAGTCTAAACTTAATTGTTATAATTTAACAGTGACGGAGCTTACTGGAAGCGACTGTAATGATGCATATAAAAATGTGCATTGTTATTTTTGGTCGGAGAGTGACGCAAAACGTGGCGCCATTGAGATCGGCTCATGTATATGGGCATATTTGAAAGCATTAAGCGATGAAGACGATGATGAAAAGGAAGTTATATTTTATTCCGACAACTGCTGCGGGCAGAACAAAAATAAATACATTACTTCACTGTATTTATATGCAGTTCAAACATTAAACATAAAAACTATAAAACATAAATTTCTAATACGGGGTCATACACAAAACGAGGCTGATAGCGTCCATAGCCTCATCGAGAGGGAGGTGAAGAAGAATTTAAAATCTGGTCCTATTTATACACCCGAACAGTACATACCTCTTATAAAGAATGCAAAAAAATCGAAACCTCCATTGATGGTGCATGAAATGAATTATGAATCATTTTATGATTTTAAAATTTTACAGGAAGAATGGGGTTATAATTTTACAACAAATAGTGATGGACAGAATGTCAACTGGAACGAAATAAAAATTTTAAAAATTTGCAAACAAAACCCTACCGTATTTTCTATAAAACGTCTTATAAGCAAGTAAACTACCAGGAAGTTGATGTTAGAAATAAAAGAAAAAAAATGAAAGCACTAACAGAAATATCACTACAGCAAGCCTATTCCAAGAAACTGGAGGTTAGTGCGAATAAAAAAAAAGATTTAAAAGAGCTTATCACAAAAGCTCTGATCCCTTCTTTTTATGCAGGATTTTATAATTCGATATTTTAAGTTAATAATTTATAAGGTGTTTTGATTAAGATTTGATCTCAATTTTAGTTGATTTTTGCTGATAATAAAAACAAAAGAGTCTGAATATTGATACAGTCAGAATTGAAGTCTGATTATTAATACAGTTTTGATTTTTAATAATTTTTTTGTATTTTGTTAATTTCGTGAAAGAACTTTAGATTGTGACTTATATAATCTATGTCTTATGACAATGTCATTATTGTTATTTAGTTTTTTTTTTGCTATAAGTAGTAGGTACTTATTGATTGATTACAATTTCTTGATTTTCGTGAATAAAAAGAAGAAATAAACAAAAATGTCTTTTTTTTACTAAGAAATCCATACATTTTATTTGTAAATTAAAACTAACACAGAAACAATTAGGAATATTTTTCAGACAGTTAATGCTTCTTAGTTAAACAATGCACTAAATCGAAATACTTCGTCTACTTGCAAGATTATTTTAATAAAAAACTGTTACACTTACAGTTACCCCGACTGTATGATAATTATTTGATTACAATATTTTATTGTAAAGTGAATTAACTACGTACTTATTTTTGCATTCTTGATTTAATTGTCTTCCTGATACAAAAAATGTTTTTTTTTTTAATGATCTTGTAGTTTATTAATTAGGCTAACTATATCTACTTTTGAAATTGACCTAAACCATTTTTTTATTTTTTTGTGGTTAATTAAAGCCACAATGGTAAACATGACAAACTTTAAATGAGTTTTCCCAAAAAAAATGAATTTTGAGTTATTTCGTTTTATGATTAAAGGAGCGGTATGTTCTACTCCATCCCAGGCTGCGGTACAAACCTGTCTTGCTTTGATGCTGACATACCTACTTTTTCACAAACACATCACAAATTCAATCCAAACATGGTTGAATTTGTGATAAAAATTGGTGTAAAAAGTTCAGGATGTCTATTTCAAATAGGTTTTCTTTAGAAACAATATAAATTTGCAAACTTAACTCATATCATTCTCAATTTTTAGACAGTAAACCTGTCTGTATATCCTACCTTGCAGAAGATGCAACGGTTGCAGGTTACGAAGGTTATGCGAGAGAGTCCCACAAAAGGTAGCCTGAAATCGAAATGGTGTCTTAAAATTCATCATCATCAGCCCATAAGTGACCACTGCTGAGCAAAGGGCTCTTCTAACACAGAGAAGGTTTGAGCATTAATCACCACGCTTGCTCAATGCGGGTTGGCGATTTCAAACTTATAATTAGAAAATATAAGAACAGGTTTCCACACGATGTTTACCCTCACCGTATGTCAGAGGTGTCTAAATGATCATAGAAAGTACATATAACTCGGAAAAAGTCACATTGGTTTGAAACCATGCCCTCATGCATGAGAAGCGGGCTGCTTAACCTTCGGGCCACCGCGACACAAAAAATTAAAATTAAATGCCGAAAAATAAAAAAATCAGACAGTACGAAATCCGGTACTTAAATGAATAGTTAATTAGCATAATAAAGTTAACTAAGGAAGAGGTTCTTGGTTAAAATCTTGAATTGGCAGAGATTTCTAAGGTTTCATAATTAGGAGCAATGGATGAATAAATGAATTTTATAAAGTAATTGATGAAAATCAGCAGACAGGTGTTAACAAAGTAATGTAAATTACAAATAATCAATCAAATATCATATCTCAATAAAACATGATTTGACTTTTACAAATAATAAAGATAATCTTGAATAAATAATTTTACGTGCCACAATGACTGAACGCTGATAAAGAAAGTACTAAAGGCATTACAATAAAACACAATAAGCATTACCTGGCGATTTATAAGTACAACGATAATATGAAAAATTAAGCCGCAGTTCTGGTAAACAAGAAATCGCTTTGGTATCTGACACCCCACGAATTTCTCATTCACCTGCCATCAAATCAAGTTTTTTTTACTTGATAGGACGACAACCCAAATGATTACTTGATGGTAAGCAATCGGTTCCATCCATGGACACTTGAAAACCAAAAAAGTCACGAATTGGATTGTGGAAGGATTGGAAGTGAGGAAGACACTTTGGGCTTTCGGTACACTCACACGACGAAACTCAACGTTTTGGTTGATCCACGACGGTTTTTTTGTGAGACCGTGGTATCACTTTGACAACGACGTGACGTTTTGACATGTAAAAGTGCTGTTTTATGGCCTATTTGCAAAAATATACTCATTATTTCATTGTTTCAATCCGGTCAAGCAAACACACAGGTATATTGATGTGTGTGTATTCTATTAGACTTAGCAATTCTATTTACTGAGATTCGCATTCGGCAGCTTTTCCTCTCTAGGTTTGCCCTCTTTAAATTACTGGTATATATATCAAAATATGCGTAGCTATCGCAGTTTCATAACTCGACGAACTCATGACGAATGGAACCCTAAAATTCACCAAATAGGTACATAACTTTTTTGTAGATACAAATTACTATGAAACAGCAATGTTCGGAATCAAGACTTTGGAATTGAGAGTCAACCACAGGAAAATTGATTTCATCAGAATCCTTTGAGCATAAGAGGTAAAATTATTCAATAACAGCGTCCCAAAAAAGAATTTCGTTTTCATCTCGGTCGTCCTAATAGGTCCCTATTCTCAATGTCAGACGATCATTGGATATAGCGCTCGGCGATATTTGTCTGCAGAGCGCCGCAGTTTGTCTCTCTAACCATATTTGGCTTAACCAGTGGTTTACGTTTTGAATGCCTCGTTCAACCTAATCTTGGTAGAAACGTTTTGTCGAGCGATGATAAGAATTGACCACACATAGTTTTCTGGTATGACGGAAATGGCGTAAAATAAATAATTACGGAAGAAAGTCTGATTGATATCAAAGTATTAGGAATAAAAGCAATGTCATCCATACTCAAAGAAAATTAGCAATTTTTTCATGAATTGCTCGTTATAGTTCAGTCATGCGGAATATAATTATCAATCAATAAATAAATTTGTATTATTACATTTTGGTTATGGATTAAAGTGTGTTTTTCTTAATTGGTTTGTTGCCAAAAGGTTGAAATTACGAATAAAATAGTGTCTAATGGAAGATTGTTTTACGTTAGTACGAACGACACGTCTATGACGTTCACCGCTGTGATTGGCTCGCTCCAAGTTAATCAACCAATCAGAGGGCTAGTCGATGTAACGTTTGGAACGTTCAAGTAAAAATAACTCGGTCTAAACACTGCGGTTCTTGGTAATCTGTTTACGAAATAAAATAACCTCAAACATTCAAACCTTTTACACATATTTTTCCAAACAACAAATAAACCTAAGTCCCTCCAAGTGAGAAACAAAAAAAGGAATCTCTTGAAGATAAATTCAGTGTAACTCATCGAAGTCTAAAGGGGTACAGAATAGACTGTAGCCGAACCCACTTTGAAAAAACGTTTCTATTGTGGGGTGAACATTAATCTTAGGACGCTTACAAAGTATTCTTGTTGTTTGCCGGCCCAATACAGATGTGACACGAATCTAAAAGCCATTGAAGCGACTTGAGCGCAACTGGCTAAAAATGAATAGTCGTGGTGGCCCGGAGGTTAAGGAGGAGCCCGCTTCTCATGGATGAGGGTGTGGGTTCAAAACATGGCAAGTACCAATGTGACTTTTTCCGAGTTCTATGTACTTTTTATGATTATTTAGACACCACTGACATACGGTGTAGGTAAAAATCGTGAGGAATTTTGGACTTATCATTTCTAATTATAAATTTGAAATCGCCAACCCGCATTGAGCAAGCGTGGTGATTAATGCTCTTAATCTCCGTGTCAGAAGAGGCCTTTGCTTAGCAGTGGGCGCTTATAGGCTGATGATGATGATGATGATGAGCGCACTTTATGAACGCGTTATTTTTGTTCAATTGTTCAATTTTCTAGATTTTTCTCGAAAATGAAGAAGCTTTAGGGAACTGTCCTTCCCACGCCACCGCCGTTACAGTAGGCGATACTTCGGACGTCGGGGATCGCGCGACGATCTTCGACAGTACGCACGGGTCTGCGGACGGCGAGATAGTGTAATGTAAATCATAGCCCGACAAAAACTCTACTCGTGCGTATAGTACGTGAAACGCAGCAATCGCCTCAAAAAGCCAGCAGAACACCAGAAGAGGCCTAATAGGGGTCGTTGGTCAAGTCCTAATATATCGTGATGGAACGGGGTTTTTTATGGTGAAATGCTGCTGAATATAATATGTATAGTGATAGTTAGATAATTGAAATTTGAAGAGACGATAATAAAAATAACATAAAATAAATTTTCAATTTAGGCAACCATATACCGAACTTTATTGACGAAGATATAGTAGGTGCATGTTTATAAACTCACTAATACATATCACCAATTTGTTCAGATCGTTCGTCGAATTCATTTTGATAGGTACAGGGTGAGCCTATTACCGAACTATTTCAAGCTTTGTGCTGTACTAAGAATTTTGAATTTCAACGATATAGGAGCACAATATTGCTGAAATTTGGGTTTCATAGTAATTCTCGAGGCTAATAATCTTTATAATATCCTTTATCAAGTATCAAATACATAAATAAACCCAAAGTATTTTTACATCCGGGGCCATTAAAAGTATATTTTATTTGCATGCCATGCTTTGGTTGCAATTTCTAAAGCTACACTCCTCTTTATACATAAGTGGATAAAAATTAATATTTTTATTTTTTTTACTTTTGTTTTCAACGCTAAAATAGAAAATGATTAGATTTTGACCGCGACTCTGTTCGCTTGGAGTAGTGACTTCCTGCAGATTTTTGGTATAAAAACTATTCTATGTCCTTTCTCGAGTTCCAAACTATGTCAGTACCAAATTTCACAGAAATCAGTTCAGTAGTTTAGGCGTGAAGAAAATACAGACAGACAGAGTTTCGCATCGCATTTATAATATTAGTTTGGATAACTCACAGGAATTAATTAAACATATTCATAAACATAGTTATACTATTTTGAAAAATAATGTCGATAGTTACCATTTCTAAATTAAATAGTTTTGGTCACATCCAGCCACGCAGTATCCTTGTCATTGGTCTCGAGACATTTCAACCAGCCCCCTAACGGCGTCGGCTTGAAGATAAATCGCTTCAAACGCTCCTTTCCT